CTTCCGATCATATAGAAGGTGAGTCATGAGTTAAGTAGTTTTTGGGCTCCTAATGAATTCATAATGTAGCTCATATAAGTGGTTTTAGAAGTTTTAAGAATTCCTAAGCTCTTTTGAGGAGTAACAGCAATAACATCCAGAACAAGAGGATTTTCATTGGTGGAAGATGCTCTTCAGATTCGATGTTAAAGTGTATTGAAGGTTTAATGGTGACTATAGGGTCTACTATAGAAAAGATTGAACCATCTATGCCTATCCCAAACTTGATTAGAGACCCCATCATTCAGATGACATGGATTAAGGGCTATATTACTCTGTTTCCAAATGATAATATGAGTTTAGAAGAAAGTTTTCCGAGGATGGGGTATAAAAAAGATATCAACAGAGAGCCAATTCTAGAATCTTTAAATTTTATAGTAAAATTACAACATTATATAATTTGAAGAAACATTCATCAAGGAGAACTCATGATAGAACATGACCTTAAGGTCGTGCTCATTAAATGGAGTTTAAACGAGCAGCCAAAGAACATAAAATTTAAGGATGCAGGGTGGGTCCTAGAATTCGAGGAAGCTATTGGACCCATTCCAATATGTGGAAAGCTTAATGAGAAGTTTAATAGGTTGAATCTATAAGGGATACAAACATTTGATTTGTTGGTTTTTATTTCAATTGAAATTGAAAGTAACTTGATTTAATATGTAAATATAATTTTAAGTTTGAAAATATTATTTTTAGTTTTTGCAAAAATGATACCAGAAAGATCATATGTATTTAATAATTTAAATAATCAACCACAATACTATAAGTAGTACTTCATTTCGAAAGATGAGTGTACTATTTGATAATAGGCTCGACTACTTAAACTAAGAAATCTATGACATTTATTTGTCTAAAAAATTTTAACCGGACCATTCCTCTACCTAACATAAAGATTATGTAGAGTTTATATTATTTGGGTTACTAATCCTCCTATAGACGTAAGCCCCTATAGTTAATTACATCTTCATCAGCCAATGTCACCTAAGAAAACTCTTGATTATGATCGGGGGTTCATCATCAAGAATTCAATGTTTATTTTTTATGATTGGTCATGAGAAAATTAAGTTGGAATGGCTCATTGTAGAACAATTATTTTGGGATCCAAAGGAGAAAAAAATAAAGGATATCATAGATTCTGAGGAGACCTGAGTGACTTCACAAATTATCCTTTTATTCGGCTTTACATTTTGAAAATGATGTTATTTGATGTTTACTCTAACTTTTATTTTAAATCTAGGACTTACATTGTGCAGCATACAATCCACGTAAATACAATGGGAAGATGGAAGGATTTACGTCGTACCAAACAAACAACCTCAGAATCCTAAAAATAGTTAGGGCGTATATCATACAACATGCAATCATGTAAAGGAATAAAATATTGGTTGTTGAATTATATCGCGCTAAACAAAAAACCTCAAAGTCCTAAGAGTTTATGTTGCTTAGGACTGTGAAAGTTTTAGTTGAGGATCATCCTTTACTTAATATTTTGACCTTGATCGTCTTGTGAAGGTTGTTCACCGCTCGATTGCGTCGTCGCCTCGTTCTATAAAAAGAGGGGTGGAGAGAAACTATGCCTCGAACGACCTATCCTAGGTTCTTTATTTTAGTATTTTATTTTAGAAGGTGCATTCCAGTTGATGATCATCTTTATTATTTTCATTATCATTTAATCGATGGGTTTAAGAATTATTAACATTTTTTTCAAGCTAAAATATTGGTCACATATCAAAGGGTTTCAACCTGAGCATATGTCCTACGTCTCCCATCCTAGGGCTTCTTATGAGAAAAGAATAAATTAATGTTTTCAACCCTAAGCATATGTATTATGTTCACTACCCATGGTTCTTTTCCACATGATAGGACTGCGGTAATTAATAGAAGAATTGCAATATCATGTACATAAGCAAAGCATATACAGTC